CGAGCCCGTCTTCTCACCACCGTCCGTCCTCTCTGCCGTCACTCCATCAAAGTCGATCTCGCCACCGCCTCCATCATCAAAGTCGAGCTCGCCGTCGCTCCATCACGGCCGACATCATCTAAAGTCAAGTTCTCTGAGCCGCTGTCTGTAGTGACTAAAACCGGAAGTCCGGATCACTAATCGGGTCCTTAACCAAACCCAAGGACACACCAAGGGCAAATTGGTCATTTTATGATATGAGAGGGTAATAAGACCTCAAATTAGTCAAATGAGATTTAAAACAATTATTCTAGACATTCCATGATGATAGGTGAAGTTCTACGGTCATCGGATAAGAATTCCCAAAATTACCCACTAAAATGACCATAACTCCCTAAATGATGGAATTTGAGGATGAGGTTGGTGTCATTGGAAAACTAACTTAAAATCCTTGAAAATGGGCTCAAGAATGACCCTATTTGGGTTCCAACGAAGAAGTTATGACCGTCCGAAGTCAAACATCCCAAGTTGTCAACTGAAGAAGACAAAACAGTGCACTGGGGGACTTGAACCGGTTCAAGAATCTTGAACCAATTCAAGATGGGCAGAATGCTCATTCTTGAACCCAAGGTCCCCCCTTGAACCGGTTCAATGAGGCTGAACCGGTTCAAGATGCCCAAAACCCCAAAATCGCCCCAAATAACCTAAAATTGAAATCTTATGCTCCTTAGCACTACTTTGGTCCTTTGGTGACCTTACTCAAGGCCCAAACCTGTCCCAATTCTTCCATTTAATGGTGAAACTAACACATTTAAGTAATACTAAAATAAAATAAAGTCATACATGAGTCCGATACACCATCAAAATTAAGCAAACCCGTCATACATAAAAAATATGGCCTTAAAGGCCTTACATGGGTATTGAAATCATGATGAGACTACAAAATACAAATGAATGGTCTAAAGACTATTTCCAACCATATGATATATATAAAATGACCCTAATACTATTTACAACAGAAAGGGGTGAAATAAACATTAAACACTAAAGAGTCCAAGTCCGTCAACCCATCTACACAGGTGGTGGATTATTGTCCGCCACTACTTTGCCATGCCCTGAAAAAATGTTAATAATAAAAGGATGGGCATAAAGCTCAATAGGAGGTGCCCGTGAATCCATAAAATGAATAGAGCAAAAGAAAATAGGATCATACAACTCAGGGGAGAAAGATAACCATAATATCAACAACAAACAATCCAAGTCATAACGAGTCATATCGTGCAATGGGATACAATGTCATGCATGTCACTCCCCATTTTCCAAAAAATAATTTCTGTCATCATTTCTAAACCGTTAATGCAACCCGTCCCATGGCAGCTCCATGGCGGCACGAGAAGAGGATTGACTAACTGTCCCTGACCACAAGGCAAGCTCCAAGGCGTCATTTGGGGCCAGTTAACTCAACCACGCTAAGGCAATCTTCCTAATCCCCTCTAGGTCACACTAACCCCACGGACCCATAGGTAATCTCCTAAGCGACCGGGTTTTCACAAACTTTTCATCAAAACTTTTCCCAAAACATTTTCTTTTGTTTCTTTCAAAAACAATTTTCTTTTCATTTTCTCTCCAATGCTCATGCATGAATGCATCATGCCATTTCATGTCATGCCAAGATCCATTTTCATACATCTAATTCCAGTTCAATTCACATAGCATATTATACAAGAAAATCCCAAAAGAAATATCAAGCCTTCATATTATGAAATTTAACAATATAATCTTCATAGACATGAAACACTACCACTTAAGCATGTTAAATCACATAATATCAACCAACACACAAAATCAAATATCTCACTTACAACAATTAGGTTATTATCAAAGAAATCAACACAAATATCGCATGTTAGGTGACAAATCAAGTAGAATAACTCACAAAGGTACAAGAAAATGTGGATTGCGGACCCCTACCTCAAGAGATGCAAAAAAAACCCCAATTTTGTGCCCTAATCTTGAAATTTCAAAGTTGGCCAAATAAGGATTTGCTCAGATCAAATCGTAGATCTCATCATGCCCTTCAATTTACCGCAAACAGCATCAAAAATCTCTCAAAGGTGAGAGAGAAATCAAATTTTGAAGCTTAAAGTAAAAAAGAAAAGAAAAAGGAAAATGAATATAAGAAAGAGAGAGAGACCACCCGGGAGAGAGAAAAAGAAAGAAGAAAAAATGTGGCAAAAAGTGATCTTTAGCCCAATTTCTATAAAAATTCTTGTGGGTCCCACTTAAAATAAATCTTTTTTTTGTTTCTTTTTAATTTCCACCACCAATATATATATATATATACACTTAATAATTCACAACCACATATAACTCATAAAATAAAATAAATGAGGTGCAACTGGACCCAAATAAAACTCCTGTACGCAACAATTCCAGTAACGGGTCCCACCCGGGACTTTCCAGTCCGGAAAATTGAAAATGCCGAAATGGCAACCCTTACATTTCTAAGAGTTCTAAACTTAAAGGAATGTCCCGACCAACTCTCGGACATACCTGGCACACTCCACAGTGTCCGACACGCAAAATGAGAAAAGATAAAAATACACTTGAAAAATCAGAAAATTCCAATAATTAGAAAATGGTGAAAAACAAAAATATTACACCGTCAATCCTCCGAGTGAATCACCGCCGCAATTATTCATCACAGCTGCGTGCAAAACGACGAAGTACTGTTTATTGACTCTTTTAGTCTTTTTACAGAATTTTGTATTTTTATATATTTTATAAAATTATTGACTATGGGTACTTTAGTCAAGTTTAGTTTAAAATGTGGCAAAGGGACTTGATTGCACCAAATTGAAACTTAAGGGGTGTTTTTTGTACGGGAATGGTGTGATATGCACTATAAACATACTTAATGGGTGTTTTTTGTACGGGAAGGGTGTGATATGCACTATAAACATACTTAATGGTGTTTTTTGCACTTGACCCTAGATAATATTACTTGTTGAGACAGACTTAAAAAATTTTAGATGGTGAAGTTAATAAGAATATAAAATTTAGGAATATGATAAAACGTCCAATTTTTAGATGCATTTAGGGACAGATTAGAAATTTATATGAGGGGGGGACAAAATTATATAAAGGGGTTTTTTCATAATTTCAGTGGGGGCATTCCTACAAGATCCGATTGGTATATATTTTTAACGTAAGTGAAGGTCCAAGAGATTTATTAGTAATTTTAAAAAGTTTATAAGCCCTTCAGCATATAAAATGAAAAGAATAGTATATATACTTCATAATGTGTCAGTAGATATTGAATGAGCCAGACATAACATGTCATTAATAAGTATGCTCACCTAATTAATTTCTTTTCTTTCCTTTTTTCTTTAATTTTTTCATCTCGCCATCATCATCACATGCAAAGCACACCACATCGTTGTGATTGCTAGCTATTAGCCTACCAATGGTACAAAGGCTTACCACCATGATAAATTGACGCTAATTTGCATGATAGATAATATTACTTGTTGAGATAGACTCAAAAAGTTTTTGATGGTGATGTTAATAAGAATACAAAATTTAGGAAAATGATAAAACGTCAAATTTTTAGATGCATTTAGCGACGGATTTAGAAATTTATATAAGGGGCTATAAATTTTTATAGAGGGGTTTTTTCATAATTTTAATGGGGGCTATTTCAAAATTTTCAATGGGGGCATTCCTACAAGATCCAATTGGTATAGGGCGGAGGGAGCATATGCTCGCGCGGGGGGGGGGGGGGGGGGCGGCATATGCTCCCCCTATTATTATATGCATTTTGTTTTGAAAGTTCAAGAATGCCCCCCCTCAAAAATAATAAAACTAACTAAAAAGAAAAGTTAAAGTAAAAATATGCTAGAATTTGTAAGGGCTAAAGGGGAAGATAATGTTTAGTAGTGTATTTTGTGTATGGTTAGAGTCTAAAGTGGAAGACAATTGTTAGTGGTGTGTTTGAGTGGTGAAGAAAAGAATACTGAACTATAATTTGTAGTTGGTATGTGTGGTGATCAAATTCTGAACAAAAACAATGAGGTCTTTGTATAAAATATTCATGCTCTCTCCGCCCTTGTCCTTGCTCCAATTTTCAATTTCATTTTCTGCAATTGCTATTTAAATAGTTCAACAGAATAATCAAAATTGGAAGGTGATCAAAATCAAAATATAGAGATAGAAATTAGAATGAATCTTCTATTTTGCTGTAAATCTATCACCGACTCACCCCTCAATTTGCAGGTTTTTTCTCTCTAAATTTGAAAGTAAAACATGCTCAATTATATATATATATATATATATATAATATGGAAACCCAAGTTTTGTTTTGTTCACATGAATCTATCATCTATTTTAGTAATTTCAGTATAATTTTGTTATGTTCACAACTTTATATGAATCTATCACAGGAATTAGATCAAGAATATTAAGCTGCTCCTTAAAAAATTTGTGATTTTACTATAATTTTTTGTTTTTATTGTTTGCCTTTTGATGTGAAAAAAATTATATATGCCATGTTGGTTGGTTTTTTTTTTCCTGTCAAATACATTATGCCCCCTGAGATACAACCTGGCTCCACCCCTAGATTTGTATATATTTTTAACATAAATGAAGGTCCAAAAGGTTTATTAATAATTAAAAAAGTTTATAAGCCCTGTAGCCTATAAAATGAAAAGAATAGTAGATATACTTCATAGTGTGTAAGTAGATATTAAGTCAGACTATCCACGTCATTAATTAGTATGCTCACTTAATAAAAATACACTATTTAATGAAACTTGTCACACCTACTTATAAAAAATACTCTCAACAAATTGATATATGATAAATTTTCATTGAGTGTGATGTTTAATGAAACTTGTCACACCTACTTATAAAAAATACTCTCAACAAATTGATATATGATAAATTTTCATTGAGTGTGATGGTATGTGCATACCGCTCAATGACCACCATTGGAACTGTTATATTTCAAAATTGGATCAAAATTTGAAAATTGAAAAGCAAGAAGCAATCATCCATCCATCATCAACGTACTGATCGATCATGGGAATGAAAATTTATTTTACTGTTGAAATGTCAAAGTAATACTCTTAAAACATCATTTGGATCATACATGTATAAATAAATACATTTATTATGTTTTTTTTTTTTTTTGCACAATCCATCATAAATACATGCCAATATCAAGGACTAATTAACGGTGATGTCAATTAAGCCCATTTGGCCATGAGAGACATCCCACCAGCACCTAAAAGAACTGCAATGTAGGATTTAATTTGGAGGGTGATGCTGCCTTGCAACTTGGGACCCATGAAATCAGCGGAAAGAAGATCCACCAAAGCCATGTAGATCAAAAGCCCAGCCGATGATGCATTTAGGAGTCCAACTGCGATCAAAGAGCTAGGGCTATTTTCTCTGTATGTGTTGGACAATGCTATCCCAAGTGCAATCCCAAATGGAGTTGTTACAGAGAAGAAGAAAACCATCACTGCCTTCTTCAACAACTTATACTCAGCCTACATATATATACACACACACACACACACACACACACACATATGTATCAGTTTATGTATACAGGGGATCGATTAATTTTTGAACTTGTAGATGTAATTAAGGACATATATATATATATATAGACTATCTAATTAATTAATTACCTGGAGGATGCAACCACCAAGGCCCATTCCTTCAAACAATTGATGGAAGCAGAGAGCAGCCACTAGTGGTTTTATGGTGCAAGTGTTGTTTGAGGCCCCCAGTGAAAGCCCTATCACCACTGAATGAACAACAATTCCCAATTCTAGTACCTGCACCCACATATATAATAGGTTTCATATATATATATATATATATAATTAAGATGAATCGCATGTTTATATGAAGTACGTACTATATTATTGTTTAACAATGTAAGTTTTTAATTAAATTAAAAACTGACCATGGCAACAACACGGTAACGCAGTAGTTGTGAGCCTCCACTTCCAATTTCCTTTATAACCCCATGATGGTGTCCATGAGCAGTACTCATGGTAGCTATCTCTTCATCATCATCTCTCTTGACAACATCAGTACTCTCCGGTGTAATCTCTGCAGCATGACTATTATTTTTCTTACCATATATACTAGTGGCCATTGAATCCACCATTAGAGTCACTATGGCAGACAACATAGCAACAAAACCTGTAAAAGGAAACTTGTGCCATGGTTTTTCCGGCAAACAGCTTGACCATAACATGTCAAATGAGTCCGGCAACACGTGCATGAATCCGGTCCCTAGTATGATTCCGGCTGCAAAAGCCTTCACGATCACAAAAGGGTTCCGATCAGGACTTAAAGCTGAGATTGAACGTGTTAAAAGTGGTAAGCACACACCTATTAAGCTAGTGACTAGTATAGCGACGATGGCTATGATTTTGAGTGGCAAAGCGGCCGATTTGTCGATGCAGTCACCAGATTCCGCGCCACATCCTTGTTGAGAAGAAAGGACTTGGGGTGTGAAGATGGAGATGATGATGAAAGAAATGTAAAACAGCTTCAAAGGAGTACTGGTGGCCATTGCTGCTCACTACCTCTCACCTTGTGACCTAAATTGCTTTATTTTAGTTGGGCATACATACCTCGTCGTCTTGGTCCTGGTATATATACACACTATATGTTTTTATTTTTATTTTTCTGTAAATTAATAAATCATATACGTACACTTTAGCCACAAGGCATACAAAACTATGACGTGCTAATTTTATTAAAACTTAAAAAGGTATGTTTTGCACCCCATTTTGAGGGAAGTGAGTGTGTCTAGCTTAGGCAAGAATGTGTTTAACTTGTGATTGGACTATTGATGTGGCTGGTAGACTTGGTAATTAGGAAACGCCCAAAAAATCGCACAATTAAGTAAGAATTTGGGATATGTTTAGTTTTATATTTTCTGAAAATAGTTTAAAATTTTCAAAACATTATACCTATATATATATATATAAGAGTAATTAAATTAAAATTGGGTTTTCCTAATTATTTTAGACATGTTTGGTTAATTTTTCTCTTTTCATATAACCAAAAATATATCTAAAGAATAAACTTGGAACATTCCTTTGATGATTTTGAATTATTATTTTTTGTCCTTTCTACAACTGAGGTAAAAGATGTTTAGTGGTATGGTAAATAAAGTAATTAATCTAGTTTGTTCATAACAACCTTTTGTCTAAAAAATAATTAGAGAACTGAATCAAATATCCCCTTCTTCTCAAAACAAAATTTTCTAAATGTTTTTTATTTCCCTGATATATGAGGAAAGAAAACGACAATCAAGACTACATCAAACAGTAATATATATAACCGCTCTAAATAAAGTTCATTACGAAGATGGGTAAATTATAATCAATTTGTGATATTAACTAATCTCTTTGCTTAAAAATAAAGAAAACATATAGAGGTATCAAAATGATAATAATTATCATCAACATCAGGAATGGGCAATAATATATTGTCCAGTTCATAATAATGTCCTCTGTTCTCCCGTTTTAGTAATTAACAAAATTCTACTGACAACATGTGGATATTATAATAATATTCATGGTATATTGACTTTTGATGCAGCTAGCTATGACTTTTGGCTGTTGTAAAAGGATATATAATTTGGACATATGTTAATGATTCTCCTTTTTTTCACAAATATGTTAATGATTCATAAATGTAAATTGTATAGGGTTGGGTGTGTGAAGTACTACTAAAATAAATCAAATTTATTAATCCAATAGCCAAAAGTTGCGTAAGAATAGTACCAAAAGACACTGATGTGACAACGGACTTGAAAATCGAATCTCTCTTGGAAATTTTAATTATCTAATACTTGGACCAATTCATTAATTTTAGTTTTAAGGGGATTATTAAATTGGTAGTTGAAGGGATAGTCTCATCTCATGGTGTCGTTTCATAAAAAGCCAAATTGAAAGGTTATCTTTAAACAAGAGTTAAGGAATAAGGAAAAGTACATATCATCACAACTTTGAATGGCTATCGGCTATCGAAAATAAATAAATAAAAATAAAAGAATTGCTGTCACTTCTTTTTTATATCTTTTTCTTTGAACTACTATTAAGTAAATACACGTATACTCACCATAGACCTTCAAAGTTTAAAGGAGAGGAGAGATGATTCCATATATGCCAACGGCTAATGGCTAATGAAATGATGATGAGTCGTCTTTTATTGGCCCTTGTTTCTATGTATAGAGTGAGGTTGTCTTTTTCCATACTTAATATATTAATATTAGCTATAAAAATCAATCCTATATTGGCCCCTAATTTTTTTTTTATAATACTACTAAGTTTTTCATTTTTGACTTGTATACTTATGATATTTTCATATTGTCACTCCTAAATTTATATTAAAAAAATTACTATTACCTCTCCTCACACAAAATCTTGAATCAGTCTCTGATTGCGAAGGATTGATTATATTATAAATAGTTGTAGTTTTAACTTTTAACTAGTTCAAAAATAATAATAAAAAAATAGCAAGTTAAAAGAATTTTGGAAAAAATGGGAGAAGGTGCGGGAAAAAGTAGAAGATAAAGTATCAGACTATACATCAATGAATTATTCTACCATAAAAAATAAAAAAATAATAATAATAAAAATAAAAAATAAAAAAATAAAACAATACAAACAGAAACTAGAAAAAGCCCTAACAACAGCCCAAAGACAAACATAAAACGAGACCCCAAAAGAAGGCCCAGGCCAACAAAAAAACGGACAGACCAACAACAATAACAACGAGGGAAGCCACAAGAAGATACAGAATGGAAAAGTGGGCATGCCCCCTTTTGTTGTTGTATTACAGGCCTTTGTGCCTTTTTATCAATTAAAAAAAAAAAAAAAAAATTTGTTGAGTGGAACTGCTTGATGCTCTTCTTCCTTATTGTACTCGTCCTTTTGTTGAATGATGTTCTCCCCTTCTGTTAAATAAAATAAAATAAAATCATAGCTGTTTAATTTTATTAGATGTGGTATCACCTAATTTATGATTTCATAGAAGTCATAGAATACATATCACCAAGGCCAAGCTAAGTATGCACTATACTGTTTCAGTCTGAACTAACTAAAAATGATGTCTGACCTAAAATTTGAGGAGTTCATATTATTAACCGACCCCCCTCCCCTCTCTTTTAACTTCTAAGAGATATTCTAAAATGGATGAGCTTGATTTCATTCTATGACTAATGTTGAACATATGGCTCAATTTGATGCTTGCATTACCCATGATGTCATTAAGATTCTTGGCCTCCAAGAATGTGTATCCAACAAGTCTTTTGAGTGGTCACCAAGAAACCTCATTTTGGTGTCCCATTTTGGCTATAAATAGCCTTTGCCCTCCATAGTTTGAAGCATCGAGAGGCATTCAAGAGTAAGACAATATTCGGATCAAGAAAGTATATTGGTTTTGTGTGTGTGAAAAAATCCTTTGTGTGTACAAACTTCAAGAGGGAATTGAAATTTGTATTTGGGTGAGTTTTTCTCTTTGTGTAAATCATATACTACTTGGGGTATTTCTTCTTTGTTGGTGAGTGGAGTGGTGTGAGAAGAGAGATTATTGTGAGGAAGAATCAAAATGTTCTTCAGTTTGGAATCTTCTTCTTTATAGTGATACGAATCATCATCGCCCGTGGACGTAACCCAATTTGTGAGGGTGAACCACGTATAAATCCTTATCTCGTTTGTGTGTGCCAATTTATTTTTCTTGTCATTATTTTTTCTCTTGTTCTCATAAACTCCTATTCGATCCTTATTTCATAACAAACTGGTATCAGAACTCGGGTTCGTGTATTGTGTACATATACTGTTCACATATACTATTCGGGGTACTGTTCACATATACTATTCGGGGTACTGTTCACAAATACGGTCTTATTCACTGAGTAATTTTTTTTTTGGGAGTTTTTTGAAATGTTGACAAAATACGAAATTAAGTAATTTGATGGCAAGATTAATTTCAGTCTTTGGTGCATTAAGATGCAGGCCTTGCTCACTCAGCAAGCTTTTGGCAAAGGAAGAGTTAGAAAGAGGAGTTACGATCCTAGTTCTCAAAAGGGTTGTGCGGAGACTACACAATGTGGTGGGAGAATGAAATCCGTTTTCAGATAGCAACCAAAATTATAGCAGTCCTTACAAGGAGGCAGACCCATGAGGACAGGTGTGATATTGACTTGCAATAATTTTGGTGGCAATGAGATAGTCCATTCGAGTGCCATTAAGATGTATGGGAGACAAGTAGTTGGTCACAATAGAGATGCGAGGAAAAGTCAAGGACATCATATTCTCCACACGGGTGAGAAGATGACTTTTCATTACCAGCCGGTAGTTTGTGGGCGGTTAGAGAAGGTTGCTGAAGGAAATGTCAAACTTGGAATTTTTGAGATTGCTTTTGGTAAGTATTTAGAGTTTGACACAAATACTGAAGGTATGCTTGTGGCTGTGCAAGACATGCATGGGTTGAAGAATAAGAGCTCGAGGGTTAAGTTTGAGGATGACTCAGACTTAACTAAAATTCTTAATTATTTTGTTTAGTGTTGGAGATGATGATGGCGTTATTTTTATTACTCACATTGTGTTGAAGAAAGACTCTTTATGATTTTGTCTTATCATTTCTGTTAAGGTGGAGAATTTTTGCCAAGGATGGAGTTTTGTGGTTCATTTAAAATTTTTGTCAAGGTGGAAAATTTTCACCAAGGTGGAGATTTGTTGAACGTATGGCTCAATTTGAGGCTTGCATCACCCATGATGTCATCAAGATTCTTGGCCTCCAAGAATGTGTGCCCAACAAGTGTTTTGAGTCTTGGCCTCCAAGAATGTGTGCCCAACAAGTCTTTTGAGTGGTTTTAGTGTCCCATTTTGGCTATAAATAGCCTTTGCCCTCCATAGTTTGAAGCATCCGAGAGGCATCCAAGAGTAAGACAATATTCGGATCAAGAGAGTATATTGGTTTTGTGTGTGTGAGAAAATCCTTTGTGTGTACAATCTTCAAGAGGTAGTTGAAGTTTGTATTTGGGTGGGTTTTTCTCTTTGTGTAAACCATATACTATTTGGGGTATTTCTTCTTTGTTGGTGAGTGGAGTGGTGTGAGAAGAGAGATTATTGTGAGGAAGAACCAAAACATTCTTCAGTTTGTAATCTTCTTCTTTATAGTGATACGAATCATCATCGCCCGTGCACGTTACCCTATTTGTGAGGGTGAATCACGTATAAATCATTGTCTCGTTTGTGTGTGCCAATTTATTTTTCTTGTCATTATTTTTTTTCTCGTTCTCGTAAACTCGTATTCGATCCCTATTCCGTAACAACTAATGATGCAAAGTTGACTAACCTATTCTAGACTAATACTGACACTGCTCCAACAACAATCACAAGGAGAATAAGTAAAACAGAACAGAACAGAACACAGCATCTCCATTGGATTGCAATTCCATTCTATTTTGGAGGCAATGCTTTTGTTTTGGAGACGATGCTTTGTGAACCTCTGCCGCTGATACCAGAGAGTGGCACCCTAAATTTCAATGTTGGTTCCCATGGCATCATCAACATCTATCATGGAAATTGCATACCCAAAATTTAAAAAAAAATAAAAAAAACCTATCATGGAAATTATGCACTCAAATTATCGGGCTTTTTTCTGTATTACTACACCATTAAACTAAGATGAACAATTATCATTAATATACAGTGGCTGATTTCTAATGTAATTGCCCCTCTCTCATCAAATTTCGCTGTAATGTTGGTGATGTGAAGAGGCTATGTAGAGCACAGAAACGAAGGACATCGCTGATCAGTGATCATATTGTTGGTGGTGGCAAAATTGAAGCAAAATCAGCTTCTACATGCAACTGGTATTATCAGATCATCGCGAGTCAGAAAGTTCACTGCTGCCATTCAAGCAGGAATTAATTCGAACAGTAGAGAGAGAAGAAAAACAGAGGAATTCAGAAATGAGTTGGCAAAGAAGAAACGAAAAGAAATATTTATAGGAGGTTTATAGGAGGTTGTTACCGGAAATAGCCGGTGACTTTTACTGTTCCGGTTATAGTTGGTCTAAAATTACATTACAGCTATATAACAGGTTCTATAAGAATATTCTCTGAGTGATTCTCTACTATCTTTGGGTAAAAATGCACTTCAATACTTCCCTTTTTATTTATTTATTTATTTTTAAATGCATGCTAGTGTTCATTCAATGTTTTGTTTGGTTTGAAAATTTAGTGAAAACAACAAAACATTCCGGTTAAAAAAAAAAAAAAGGAAAGAAACACGAAGATGTTTCATTTCAGTGGCAACATTATTAACAAATCAAAATGAAAAGCATTAATCTTTTATCTTCATAATTATAACTAGGAAAAATAACACAAACAAACGAATGAAGAAGATGAATTAAAAAAAAAATAAATAAATAAATTAGGCCCATTTTGCCATTAAAGACATTCCTCCAGCACCTAAAAAAACAGCAACATAAGCCCATATCTGAAGCTTCATACTTGCCTGCAGCTTGGGACCCATAAAATCAGAGGCAAGCAGATCGACAAGTGCCATATAGTTCAACAGTCCTGCTGATGATGCATTCAGTATTCCCACCACAATCAGTGCGGTGGGGCTGTTTTCCCTATATACATGCGACAACCCAATCCCCAATGCAATCCCAAATGGAGTTGTTGCCGAGAAAAAGAATACCATTATTGCTTTTATTCTCAACCCGTACTCAGCCTTCAAGTGCAAAATTTACAACTATCAATTAGCTACCAATACCATCCTATATATAAATATGCTCAAATTTATTCTAATAAAACAAAATAAAAATGATGTACAATCAAATTCACCTGTAGTATGCATCCGCCTAGACCCATTCCTTCGAATAGTTGATGGAAGCAGAGAGCAGCTACGAGCGGTTTGATGGTGCATGGATTATCAGATGCCCCAAGTGATAGCCCTATCACCACTGAGTGCACCACAATTCCTACTTCTAATACCTGCATCCCATATCATACAATGTAATCTAATTAATAAATTAATTACCAATATTTCTACCTTTTAAACATGCATTATGGTACGTACTAATTAAAGTTTTGTTCAAACCTGAGCCACCACTCGGTATCGAACCAACTGAGATGCCTTGTCGTCAAGCCCTACCATACCATGACAATGTCCTTGTAACTCCACTGCTCCATCTGTCACACGATTGCTATCACAGCAATATTTTTTATAATAACTCAAACCAAATGAATCCACCATCAGAGTCAAAAGTGCCGAAAGCATTGCTATGAAAGTAGTGAAGGGAAATTTCCTCCATGGGTTTTCGGGTAAACACACGGAGGTTAAGCAATCAAACGAATCCGGCATGACGTGCATGTACCCGGTTGCAAGTATGACACCGGAGGCAAATGCTTTCACCAATATGAATAAATCTCTGTCCGGTTTCAGAGCCTGTACGCCACGCGAAAATAATGGCAGACAAACTCCCATCATGCTAGTCACTAGTATGGATGCAATGGCAATGAGCTTGAGCACCAGTGATTTCGCCTTGTCCTCACATCCACCGCTTGATTTTGAACCACATTCCCCCCGACTTTCGGTTTCGGACTCGCCCAAAGTTTGTGATGTAAAGGAGATAAGGAGGATGAAGAGGAGCACAGAGACTGTATGAAATTTAATGGATGATGTAGCCATGGATTTGAAGAGTTTGTGTACAAAATGAACTGTTCTCACTATATCACAGTTTTGGGTGCCCAATTTATAGGTAATAGTCATGATCATAAATAGAAATCCAAAATGTGAAAATGTCAGAAATGGGCTTGATGTCTTAGGTGGACTTGATTTCATTCGTATTGATCCTGTAATTTTTGTGGTTGAGATGGGTATTTGAAGGCGTAGACTAGCAAGTGGAAAACTTGTGCATCTTGTGTGCTGCGTGTGGTCCACACTGATCTTGACTCATTGAAGGTTAATGTCAAACCCCCACTTTTACTGAATCTCAGGATGACGTGTCATCTATATGTGGCATTTCGAATTTCTTTTGGAAAATTATTGTATATATATGTGGTTAAAAGAGGGCAAATCCTATAATATAGCATCTCCAACCGAAACCGTTGTGTATATATATATATATATTTTTGTGTAAATTTGATGTGTCATGATAAATTTACACAAAAAATTTAGATTATTTAATTTTAGATCCAACGGTTATTTTATATTTTTTGTGTAAAAATATATCTCCTAATGACAATCAACCATGGGTCATGTCAAGAACCCCACATAACTTTTATAACCCTACTTAATATATTGTTGATTTTTTAATGGAACGAGAAAGATAGATGAGAAAGGAAATATATTGATCTGACAGTGTAAAAATATTTTGTAAAATACACGATCCTTTTACACATTGGTGATATGACAATATATCTTAACACTGTTGGAGATGGAAAAAATTGATACATCGTGACAGTGTATATTTTACACAAAATGATATTTTAACAGGCCTCTGGAGATGCTCTAAAATATGAGCCAGCGGGATTGCTTCCTCCCTCAACTTAGAAAGTAATTGTAGATGAAATTCTTAATAAAAACCACAACCATAAAATATAACACACATAATATTTCAACCACAACCAGATAAAAAGTGAATCTCATAGTTGATTTGAATAAATAAAAAAGTTTGAAATTAATTGATACATTAAATATTGACTATTGAAGTTATACTTTTGATGTTCAAAGTGATTGTAAGTTAGAGACAATGAAAAATATCAAATTAACTCATTTTACTCGATTATTAGGAATGTGCTTGTATTATGTTTGTTTCATATAAAATGAATCCAGATGTAGGAGGAAAAAAAAATAGAAAGTATATTAAGTCTGATCCAACAAAAATAAATTAGATGAACGGAAAGGGAAGATCGATTTGGTAGAACAGAGAGATGGTGAGACAGTGAGATAAGAGAGAACAGAGGGATTACAGATTGAGAGAGGGAGATGCAAATTCAGATGTTAGGATATGTTTGGATTGAGAGATTTGGAGGGATAGTGAGAGAAAATAAAAGAAAAGATAGTGTAAATTGTGCTTGGGTAGGTTAAAATAAGAGAAAAGAAATGATAGGGAGGGATAGCTATCCCTCCTTTCCTATCTCTCCAAAAATGAGAAGATAGAGAGAGAAAGGATAGTGGTTAAGTAGTATTTTAATAATTTCGAAACTACCCTCAATAATTAAAAGGAAGAAATTATTATTCCACTTATATCCCATCTATTTTAAAGGATATGATAGTAATTTCATTGTTATCATTTCTCTTCTTTTCTACTTTCTATCATATCCAAACAAGAATACTACACTTTCTTTTCTATCTATCCAAATATAAATATAAATTATTGCTATCATTTCTTTTCTTTTCTTCTCTCTCATAACTAATACTATCATTTCCTTTCTTTTCTCTCTTACTTATCCAAACGCATCCTTAGAGAGAGAGAGAGAGAGAGAGTCATCATAAGGATAAGAGAAAAAAGAAGCAACACATTTATAATACGGATTTTTAGAAAATTTTCCAAAAATAAAAGGGATAATTTCACTGACACCCCCACTAATTTGGCCAAATATCATTCTAAAACATCTTTCGAAAATAACTATCACTCACATTACAAACGTTTGCTCCGTTTTTCACTCACACCCCAAAAGTTAGTTGACAGGTGTATCAGACCACTTTTTACATGTAAAAAGACATTCTTACCCTTTGACTTTGGTTTAACCCATAAATTATTTTTTTAATGATTAAAATTACATATTTACCCTCATTTGACTTTAGGTTGACTATTCAAATGACATGTTTACCCTTCCTTTTCCATATACAAGAATAAATAAAGTAGGTGATCAACATCATACAGTTTGGTATTGAGGGCTATTATACGCCATACAAGTATTCGGTTCTATATTTTCTGAAGGAAATTAATGAAATTTTAAGTAAGAAAATTTATTTTTTTAAGAAAATTAATTAAATTTAAAAAGAGAAAGAGAAAAATAAGAAAAATTTTAAAAACTAAAATATAAAATAAAATAAGAAAAAGCAACCATTCTTATTTTTTTTTAAGGAAATTAATGAAACTTTAAATAAGAAAATTTTATTTTTGTAAGGAAATTAATGAAATTTAAAAAGAAAAAAAGAGAAAAATAAGAAAAAAAATTAAAAATTAAAATAAGAAAAATCATCCATTCATATATATATTTTTAAGGAAATTAATGAAATTTTAAGGGTTATCGTACGTTTTAAGAAATTGAATGTGTTTATATAGAGGGAAACAGAAAATGGAAGTTGTTGCAGGAAATTCCCAGTTCCTTTATTGCTCAGAGTACTGAATACTGGTTCTTTGTCAAAAAACACACTTCGTTACTCCCAGAAGAAAATAAAAATTATTCCAATTTTTTGTTAGAAGTAATGGTGGAAACTGGAAAACCAAACATTCCATGTACTCTATTTCATACTAACAATATGTATTACTAAAACGGTACTCGCATACCTGTAAAACAATATATTTCGATACTTAATACCACCAACTACATTCATATTCTTAATTTCATTTTCTGTCCAAACATTATTTCGCAGACAAAATTCCGGCGAACTCCACTCTTGATCTGTCATTTAACAATTTCACCGGAGAGATTCTGGAGAGATTCTGGAATCATCTGTTTTCTTCAACCACGAAACGAAATCATTTTTCGGAAATCCGAAATTGTGCGGTAGACCACTCTGGAAATTATGCCCAATTCCTTCCACCACCTCTTCTCTGCACCAACCACTTCTCCACCGGAAATTGCAGCGATCCCGAAGACCATAGATTCAACTCCAGCCCTCTCCTCCAGAAACCTCACTGGTATTCTCTCATGGTGGTTCCTCAAAAACATGTCTCACCTTCAAACCATCGACCTCTCCAACAATTCTCTCAAAGGCTCTGTTCCAGGTTGGTTCTGGTCCAGCCCATCTCTTACCAAAGTCAATCTCTCCAAGAATCAATTCGGAGGGACCGTTGGGTTCGAACCCACTTCAGATATAACTTCATTTTCATCGATTCAAGTCCTCAATCTTTCTACAAACAAGTTCACTAACTTGGCTCATCTCTCTGGTTTTCGAAGCCTCTCTGTTCTTGACCTCTCCCACAACAATCTCAAAATATTACCCTCTAGTTTTCCCAACATAACCAAACTTCAATAACTCATCCGCCATGAATGATTCCACAGCTTTAGGTGAAGCGAGCGTCTCTTCTTCTGGCAATCAAATAGTACCAGCAAAATCAACATCAAAGAAGAAGCGAATTTTGGTTGCTGGCGGCTTGGACAGCCGGTACTTCGCCCATTGGTGAGCGAAGGGGAAGAAGGGGAAATTTGGGTCTGCGACTTGTAGCCATATAGGGATAGAGGAGAGAGAAACAATGTGTGTAGGGGTACAGAAGTCATTTCCATATCTAATATTTTGGAATAAATATGATTAAAAAATTAGGGACAAACATGTCTTTTCCCATGTTTTTAACGGAGGCTGTAACGGAAAAGCGAAAATGGACCTAAGTGATAGCTATTTTCGAAAGATGTTTTAGACTGATATTTGGCCAAACTAGTGGGGGTGTCAGTGAAATTATCCCAAAATAAAAATAAAACTTGTAATGTCAATTTTTAGATATAAGACGTCTTTGGTTTCCTGCAGTCTCACCGTCAATTTCTCATCGAGACGATGAAGGTGCACAAATGGGTGCAACCCCAGTTCAACACCGACCAAAAACTCCGATTTGCTTTGATTTCAAGTGGTGGTTTTACACGGTGGCAATGGTAGTGATTGTGTATATGTATATATAAATGAACTGAACATACAAAGTGGTTAATATATATAGCTTTTTTTCTTTCTATTGTGAACATACCTATAATAATTTAAGGGTAAATTTTTTTATTTTAGCCTGCAAAAACTACAGTGGTAGAGGTGGGAGATAGAAAGGAAGAAGAAAAAATAATACTCTAGTATCCCAAATGGTTTTCGTGAATTACTAAACTTATTATTTTTAATTAATAATTTATGTAATAAATAAGACTACTTATTTGTATTTAGCATAAATAATCAATCAAAAATCATTCAATCATGTAATTCATCACAAATTTTCGGTGTAAATATCATACTCTTAACTAAAATTCAAAAACGACTCCACAAAAACCAATTATTGAATAGAAAAGCAAAAAAAAAAAATAAAAAAAAATATATAATAATAATAATAATAAAAGATTCGGTATGTTATCACATACTAATTGAGTTTTCAAAGCTTATATAAGCAACTGAATAATAATTTACAAAGCATCGTGCATAGTCATTAACATTTGGGGTCTTCTTCGGAATATGAAGTACCATTAAAAAATGAACAGTGATACATTTACAGAACCAAACAATCGAAAAATTCACCGAATCCAACGTGGTTATGTCACGTAATACGACTAAAATGATTTCTCCTCTCTCCTCTTCGTTTAGGACTCTCTTGCTCTCTAGACTCCAGTCAATTTGTCCTCTCTAATTATTACTCTTTCCGATCTGAATCGAAATTTATAAGCCATTGTTCGAAAAACGAAAATAAAAATAATAAAAATAATCACCGGCCGGCCTCTATAGAAGAGTCCAATAAGTTACTGGCCTGCAATATGTTTGACCAGCATAATAAAA